AGTGAGGCAGTTAGAAAAAGTGTGTGTAACGGGTACTTCCATTGAAGAATGTGTCCAGCACCAGAAGCTGCGTTGGTTGGGACATGTGTTACGTATGCCGAACCATCGTTTGCCGAAGAGAGTACTGTTTTCCATGCCCAATTCGGAGTGGCGTAAACAGAGAGGTGACCAACCCTTGACCTGGCAGAGGAGTATGAAGGAGGTCACGAAACGCTTGGGTGCTGTCGGTGCTACTCGCCTTCCAGGATGGAGACCGCGTGATCCTCACTGTGCCTGGTTGGAGACACTACAATATATGGGTGCCAACCGATGTCAGTGGCGTTCTTGTTGTCACTTTCTATCCAGATTGCCTGAGTGAATGTCTGGGGGTGTAGTCACCTCGGAATGATTGTGTTAAGCTAGCACTAAGTCCCTTCCCCATCCACCTTTATTCTTTTCTTTACAGTAAAGCTTTCAAATAAGTCATGGTTGTTTGGCAGTGAAGCATCGGTGTTGAACACTGATGTCATGCTGTCGATGATGATAATGATGATGATCACGGGTGACACCTGTTGATATGATCAGAGATTCCCTGAAACATCACTGGGTCATCGATTGGCCACCATTTTTCCACTCAGAGGTTAAAGGATGATGCTGGGTATAGAATTCGTTTACTCAATGTCAGAAGAACTCCATCTAACCGCTGGAGACTGATGATGCCACTAGATGCCTGTGCCTTAATCGCAGCTTTCTCAAGCCATCTGCCAGAAGAGCTCCGCTATCCAAATTACCAAACCTTCTGAGGTGAATTTTTATTCAAAAGGCTGAGCGAACAATTGGGATTAAAACGGCTTTTCAACTTGGGTTGACTTCACTGACAGGATGAAATTGCAGTGGAGACTTCCGATTCTTCTGACTACCTAGATTGCCAGTAAAGCCGATGGCAATAGATCCAATGAGATCTCAGTGTGTAAAGGCACCACACAGGTTGTGTTTTGCTACCATTGTAGCCAGTCCCTCGCCGTGACGGCCGCCTCAATGTACCACACTAACAGAACCGCATGTCCGTACACGGCTCTCGCAAAGTGTATTCTACCAGTCCCTTCAGATTAAGTCTGCTTTGGTTGTTCGATGGAAGTCATAGAAAGTGAAAGCAATGAATGAAAAACAGGTCTCACAGACGCGGCCCTACGGGTTCACTGGTGTGTCCTTCGTGCAGAGGCTCTTAGGACAGGACGAACCTGGTTGTCTTTGAAGGCTTGTGCCTTCTACATCCACGTCATGTTGCGATGTAGGTCAGCACTTTAAACGTCCTACATAGTATGTGTCTCTAAATCACCATAGGTACCTTTGAAAATGCCAAGCTCATACCTAAGGATATAATGGCTCTAAACTATTTCAAAGCACACTTTTTTAAAGGTAAAAGTGGACTTTGATGCGCCAGTTGTGCTTCTTACAGCGGTCATTTGTTTCCGTAGTTTTGCTAATGGATCTGGATCTGTAGCGTGCATCCACACTGGGCAGTTACTCGCGGAGGTGCGTGCCTCACGAGAGCGAAATTCGACGTTCCATTTGTGACTGAAGATGGCCAATTCGTGGTCGGGAACTTAAGTACAAACGTCTTAGTGAAGCAAACTATGACCTCTGAAATGTGTTCTCTGTTGGGCAAATTCTACACCTGCATTTTTCTTACTATACTATGCGTTATGTATAGTATGCTATGACTTAATGTTATGCTGTACTTTAATTACTTTGTTTTTTTTTGCAGTTCATCGTTGCCCCAACCCACATCAACTTCAGTGACTACAGTTCCTGGAGTGAAATTTAACTGGGACAAGCAGCTACCCTTAGATTAATCGCAGACCATGGTTTACTGTGCCTTTTGGCGTTACTTTGTTTTGTGATTAGAATCATCTTGATACGTCATTCGTCTTTTTTCTATCTGCATACGCATGTGATTAATGTTTCGACGCCCACCAAAAATCCCAGGTTTGTGCTGAGGAATCGGGATCGCTGGCTAATCGTAGTCATGATTGGTGGTGGCACCATTGTTAAGCATCGGTACTTTATTGACGTACAACCATATGGTACTTCAAGCTAAAACCCAACGAATATAGATATAAAGTAGCTTAATGCTAACACTTTACAGTGTCCCCAGTTTGACCGCTCAGTCAGGTATTATGGCCTCGATTATCTGCGCCGTCAGCCATACACAGAAGGCTCACAGAGAGTGGTCTTGATCAGGTATCGAAGGTTCCGAAGGAAGCCATGAAAACAACATGTGAGGAATGGTGGAAGTTTGAGACTCTGATGTACCTCATGTGGACTATGTGGTCAGCTGAGAGTTTCCTTCCCTGCATATGAATTTCGAAGTTCAGTATGGTTTGATCCCGTTCTCAAAACAGTAGCCACTCCATGGCAGTTTATTACGGATGGTCGCTCCTAGTTTGTGTCCACTAATTTCCGTTTCAAAATCATGAAGTCATCCGAATTTTAGAAGAATCCCTAAACTACAACCCTTTACAGGAACCAAAGCGGAGCGGTGTAAGAAGTTTGCTGAGGTGTGGGTGACAATTGAGTCACCGGTTCGCATTCGATTACTTGTCCCGGGGACGGTAATTCCAGGTGACCTTGTAGATCTACCAACTCTATCATCACTTGTTGCCTTGTCTATGAATCTTTTTTTACACATTTGTTTTACTGGGCTCTTAATCTCGATGTTCAGGCCAGCATACCCTTGCCTGTAGAGTATCATGTGTCTACCGTCTTCCACGTAACATCTACATGACGCTCTTGATTATCTTGTATTGCATTAAAATAAGAAAAATCGTTCCACATAGCAATAAAGGAAGTTAATCGACTGAGCACAGGTCACTCGAGACTAATACATCACTAACGGGTGAATTTATTGAGAAGTCTTACCTATGGTCGCAGGTACAGCGTACTAGACTAAAGTGAGAAGAAGCCGAGCCATCAGTGTGAATTGATCGCTGACAAATAAAATCCTGCACGAAGTTTCGTCCAGTGAGTCATTGATCATAGCTTACATGGTTCTTTTCAACGAGAAAATATCTTGTAGTCCAACCTTGACTTTTCCTCCTACAGCACCAAGTATCCACCCCCAAATGTAATCGAAATCAACCCAGTGGGCGCTCCAAATCCTAAGCTTCATTTTTTGCCACACTGCATCTTCTGATTACGTCGGATTTTTGTGTAGCAGAAGCAGACAGAGAGACGACACCACGTAACTGCTATGGCTATCAATTCGTTGCCACAATATAGTTTTCCCTCTCCATTATGACTGAAAGCCAAGTAATTTCGGTTGTTTTAGAGAAGGGTGATCGCCTTGATCACCTAACCCAGCATTCAAACCGTCCCACGGCTATGGCACGTTAAATGTGCCTAATGTCACCCATTTTTATGGTTACATGCAAAGTTCCCTATCTTTAATCCTCTGGACAACGTTCATTCTTCCACCATGTACGCTTTCCTGCTCCATCAAACAGCATGCAACTTTTTAGGAAAGCTGAAACGTATACAGACTATCAGTGTTTGGTATTGAGCTGTCGGATTGGATCGGCCACAAACTTGTTGAGTTTCGTTCATCACTAATAGTTATAGTGAAACATCGGTGTCTGGCATCATCACATGGCAAATTGTTGATACAAGTCACATCGTAAGCCTAGCTATTTTAATCCCACTAGTACTGTCCATTGTTTCTGCGGTACATACTGACTCAGTATAGGCTCTTAGTATATTTGTGCTAAGCTCGCACTGGGTCGCTTCGTTCTCTCCTTCATTTCTCTCTTCTTTGCACACCATGCTTTTTTCAGGCGAATTGAAAGGCAAGGAGGCAGCAGTATTTCAGCTAATGGTGTTGATGACTTTTCTCTAGACTATCCAATTTCACTGTTTGAAAACTAGATAAGCAATCTTAGTTGAATATAGGGTTTGTGATTGGACAAGTTTTCTGAATCGTCAAAAGTGCATTGAGAACCGACTCTCAGGAGTAGCTGGTTCGAGCCTGGTTACATTGAAATAGAGGGATATCCAGTAGCCGCTATTAAGTAGTTGCTATGGGCTGGTTTCCCAGAATCCACAGACAGCCCACTATCGGTGCCGCCGTGTTCGGGCTCATCAAGTAAACGGAGTCTCCGGAATCTCTGATTTGAACAGTGATGTGGTTGAAATTTCATGTTTGGTTCAGCTGCATTTTGGAATTACTGGACCCGGACACTTGATGGACTCTTTTGTACTCAACACTATGTTGATGTTCTTCTGCACAGTGTGTAGTACACAGGCCGTCATGCCATTCTGCTGAGAATAAATCCAATGAAGTACCCAGGGAACTAAGAAGTTTGGTCGGTCTCTCGAAATCCACGGACATTCCTGCTTGGGACTTATGGGGCGTGCGTAAATCTCGCAATCCAATCAATCATAACCTACTACAAATATCGAATAGAAGAAATTTCTTCGAATGTCTTCGCAACGGGTTCTCAAGGCAGCTTGTTCGCTGCGCATTATACAAAGGAGTATCAATATGGTCTTTATCATGAGGAAGCCTTTTGGACTTCCAGTTAGGGTACCTTCAACCGACATATGATTAAAAAATAAGCACTATGGTCCTCCAAACATATTTCCAACAACCTATGGGCAGTAGTTCATATGGTTAGCAAACCTTCCACTCGTCACTTGAGGAGCCAGTCAACGGGTGACCATACAATGTTTTTTTGGATGGACGGTGAGCGTCTAAGTGCGAGTTATTCACCGCTGACCAGTCCCGTGTCGTCGGATAGTTTGATCCTCAACTGTTCGCTGGGAAGTTGCAAGGTCGAATCAAAGTGGAGATTTGTGAACTGTTCACACTTGATGAGTCTCAATGTACAGTGCTTCTCGGCTTCTGAGTATAGATTGAGTTCAATTACAGGACGAAGCCTTGGCTGAAAAGCATCCAATTTGCTCTGTCTGAATCTATTGAATGAATCAGAAATGTAAAGTCGTTACGAATAGGAAGGGGAGTTTTGCCATAATTCCGTTTAAGGTGGTAGTGACTGCGAGATTAAATCCTAACCTGTAGTTTCTGTCGATCAGATGCCGTCCAATCCTGCTTTGGGTCAGGATCCTACTCGACAGTGTGCTTAGTTTTGAGATCTGTAGTAATACGACCGTAAACACTACGGGCAAATCCATCGACAGGTTCGTGAGCGGTTGCTGTGAGTCGTTCGATTCGGTTGCCCCATACCATGCGCAAATATTCTCCACGAAGCTGCTGGATGGTAGTTGTTCCAGGTACGTTTTTGTAACGATATCTTACGCTGTCCTGGGAATGCATGTCTCTAAGTGCGCCACGGCTCTTCAAACGCAGAACCCTGAAGTCCATCGAAAGGAACAGACTTGTTAGCCATTTCTGGCCTCTTGATGTGGAACTTCAGGGCTACACGAAACTCCAGATTTCACTTTTACATTGTGTAGCCGTATCGACGGAAATAGTTTTTCAAGACGTGTTCAAAACCAACTGACAAATTGAAACCGCTTAATGGTTTTGACCTCAGTATCAACCAATGTCCTCGGTTCACAAATCACATCAACCGTTGTAACCGTTGTAAGTTCAACTCACTGGCGATTAACAATTATCCATGCAAATTCAGCCAGAACTGTTGAACTAAGCGCAGCAGTGTTCAGTGATTGTTCCAGGCGTTGTATCATATGCTCTCGAGATCACATGTTATACAGTTTGAACCACTGTTCCATTTGTCAGCCCACCAAAATTACCAAGAGGAATCGATTCGCAATTCAATGTAGTTTGGTCAGTGATTTTTCACCCAGCCAAATGAAAATTCCCTCAGTGATTTGATAGTGCAACCAAGATGTTTGTTCCTTGAATCTCTCACTTAGTGGTTGTTCGGTGAGTTAGCAAAAAATAGGCAGCGTCCGTCCCAACAAAGTGGCTTTGCGTGGCCGACTCACACTGGAACCGATTTCCTTACTTCAAGCACGTTTAAGCTAATGTAGGTCGATCGGCTGAATACGTCATTGTCAACCGTTTGCTTTTATTTTTTAGAGGAATTTGTCGTGGAATCCTATTACTGGGTAACCCAGGTCACCGGAATAATGGATTTTGACTTTTTTGCATGCTTGGATGGATTAGCAGACAATTGCTACTACAAGCTTTTAGGAGTTGATTCCAGTTCGACGGTAGCCCCCCACCAGAGCTATCATTTAACAATTCTCTGCACTTCAGGTGGAACAAATAGAGGCGGAATTCCGATTGAAGGCGCGAGAGTTTCATCCAGACAAAAATGATAATCCGGACTCAAGTACACTGTGTGTGAACGCTTTCTTTATTCCAAATAGCATTTCAATTTCAAGCCATCAACCGAGCTAAACAAGTTCTAACAGATCCGAAACTTCGACGGCAGTACGAATGCTGGAAGTCAAGCGGTTTGAACATTCCATTTGAGCGGTGGTTACTTCTGAAGGACCAGTTCCATACAGTAACATTTCTTTCCCTTTAGTGCTAATCATTGGTTTAGTGCATGCATTGGTGTGCAGTGTCCAATAGCGCTGATAAGATGTTACCACCTGCGAATGTGTCAAGTGGTGGGTCTATTTTTATTGCCTTATCAGCCTTCTCTTGTAGTTTCTTCAGGTCATGGTCCATTCGCTGCGATAGAAGAGCATAATCCTTCCAATAGTCTTCTCTCTCAGTTTCGTGCTTATAAAATCTGAACTCATTTCTTAACCCAACATTCCGAATGCCCAGATGTATTATGTTGTGTCAATCCCTACACCAACTGACACATGTTTGCATTTCATTAATTTTGTTTTTTCTTCCCAATCACGTGATCAACAAACTTTTTCTTGAATATTAACCCTTGTGACTTGGTGACAATATTGAGTTTTTCTCCCTTCATCGATTGCTGCATGTTTATTATTGACATATCCAATCAAGTCAACGTTCAATAGATGTTTCTGAGTACCTTTGGTTCCTATCATGAACCGCTGCTATTGGGTAGTGCACTAACGGCGTGTCATTGGGGACAACGGATTATGTCGAACGCTTTTCAAGGTGGAACAATATCGACTGAACCTCAGGACGACTCAATATCGACGCCAGTGAACTCCTGGCCTGCACAAATGTGTCGGTGGGAACACGGACACCCAGTTAACAGACAGCCGCTTTTCACGGACGACATTCATTTTTCTGTAGCATCTTTTACTTGTAGAACCCCCTCTAAAAAGCGAACGGTTCCGAGATCAGTCAAGATCATTCGTTCTTCTACCTTTGGTCGATATTGTTGCACTTCTATATACCATGTTTTTTGTTCATCATTGTAATTGCCCATTGTGGCCCGATCGAAGACAAATATTCGAGAAAGCATCTGCTCTCCAACGAGCAGGCTTAGCAAAGTATATACTGAATCGTGTGTGACCAGCTTCGAAACGGTGTGCATCTAAATGTTGAATAATCTGGTGCCCTGTTGATCAATGGGTTATTCTTTCGACGAAATCTTGGCTCACGCTAACCCTCCGCCAGGTCGTTTCCTTACTACTTATTCTCAGGACCACTTAGTACGCAGCAATTTAACGGGTCTATTGCACCCTCCAGTCAGAGACTCAGATACCTTCAAGTCATTGTCGGCAGACTACTCAAGGGGCTGTCATCGCATTTGTGAGAAAGTTGAAACGTGATTTAGTATGAGTAGCGTTTCTTTTGGTTGGTATCAATATGGCCTACGGAAGCTGCTCTGCTGTGACGTAGGAAGCGAATCCGTTACCTGTTTGTTAAGTATCTCACACCGACAGTGTTGGCCTGTCCCCTTGTTGCCTCTTGTCCATATATTTGCTGTCAGATCTAATTTGGTGACTTGACCGTTTGTCAGCCTTTCCTGGTTCGGTGAGGAACTAAAGGATATGGGCCGAGTTACGATACAGGAACACAGCTTTTCCATGAAATTTCAGCGATGATGTGCACGGTACCCCTAACACCCTTCCACAGGTGAACCATTGCAAGACCGGTGAGGCTGTTCGAGGAGACCAAAGAGCGGACCCATCAACCATAAAATCTGGCCACTATCAACTGGTTTCCCATCTTCTGCTCGTCAATCAACACCATATAGTGCAAGGCCGCACTTTTGATGTAGTGATCTTATTCTACGCCTCCTACCCATTATTCGCCAACCGAACTTATGGGCGAATACAGGACTTTTCGAAATTCTCACAAGGAAGAACCACACGTGCAGAAAATGGAAGTAGTATTGAAGTATACCACTGTTCCGCTATCCTAGTACAAATTAGAGCCCAATATTCTTTTTCACCACCACCGTGATATTGGTGTTATTCTGGCCTATTTCGGTTTTATCTCCTGATCCTTCGTCGCCATGCTCACGGCTGTTTCTGTGCAGTATAACGTAGATCCCGTGGCAGTACTTTCTACGCACACTGACCGATCACCTTAGTGATCTAACCCTTAAGATGGTGGTCGACTTGGAGAGAAGAGTAATGCACGCGAAAACGATGTGGAGAGAGGATGATGGCGGGTTACGCTATGACTTTTAACGAAGTGGTGCCGAATTTGGCCTGGTGCATAAGATGTCACCTTTCTTGCAGTTTGGCCTTTTTACACTAGACCTGCATCTAGGTCGAATTTTCAAGTTAATCTGTATGAGGCTGTGCAAGATAAGTCCTCGGATGAAGGTGTCGATAGAATTATGAACATCTATTTGAGTGAAGGTGTCCTTTTGGCTTCTCGTCGTCAGGCTTTTACGTTCAAATTAGCAGATCTAAGTCAGTCAACATGTAAGCGTTCAACGAATCCAAAATGGTCACGTCGGATTTGCGAAATACACTCATTTGCGAACAAATTTGGCTTTGCGAGAGATTCACCTGGAACCCGACTGAATTTCTCGTTTGTGATGTTTCCAGGTAGCTCAGCGTGCTGCATCAGGCCACCTCATGTTTCAGCTGCAATGATATATCGCGATACATGTATATTCGTAATGCACTACTCTTAAGGTTGCTGAAAATTCTTCGACAGCCCACGACCAGTTTCGGCCTTCTTGGGGGTCATCAGGTAAGCGCGGTCCCATAGTTTCCGTCAAGTCAAATCAGATATTACAAAAATCAGAAAAGTGTGACCAGAGATGAGGTGGAAGGCATTGATCAGGACCAAATCGAGAATCCGGGTCATTTGAGTTGATCCATTAGCCTTCAAGTATATCCTGATCCATTACAGCTAGTTTGTAGTGGTTTGACCAGAGTAAATGAGGAAATAGGGTCAGACGCTTTCGAGTTCTTATAAACACGGCTACTGCGTTGTCGATAATTTTAATCCTGCTTTTCTTTAGTGACTTCATGCAAAGCTCGTAGATAACAGTAAATGCCACCATTGCAGGATCCGATTGGCGTTCTGTGACCACAAGGTGTTCCAGCGTTGAAGTGTTGGTAGTTTTTACGGAAGGATGTGTTCATAAGTGTTAGTGTTCGTGTCACTTGGCTGATGTAGTGAGCCTAAAAGAATCAAATGACACGCGTAGAAATGGCCTGATGTAGTTGACCTTGCAGTCTTTGCATGGACATCCGATAGTCAGTGAATATGAACTGAGCGAGGCCAGCGTTAAACGTGCCTTTGAACATTCTACTGAGATTCTCTGTGAGTGTCTGGCTGACCACGTCGCCCTTATGAGGCGGTTAGAGGCATGCTGGCTTCCTTTGGTACCTCTTGGTTTGGCACTTTCGGTGCAGAAGACTTTAAACCGGCTTTTAAGAGCCCCTCAACGTACCCTTTTTACGAAGTTTGTCAAACACGAAATCAATTTTTTCTGGTGACTTATCCACTGCGCATATTTTCTTTGCTCCGTTTGGCATGCATCGCACTGCATTTCACTTGATTCTCAGCATCACTCACACTCGGGCGGGATGTAGTCCCAGACGGAACTCACTGGAGTTTCATGAGGTATGCACTGTTGAAGACATCCAATTGTGATTAAACAACTGTACAGTGCTTCTTGGCTTTTCAGCATGGACTGATTTCATTTACGGAGCGAAGACATCCATTGTGATTAAACAACTGTACAGTGCTTCTTGGCTTTTCAGCATGGACTGATTTCATTTACGGAGCAAAGTGTAGACTGAATTGACTTACAGGACGAAATCTTCATCGCAACATGAATTGGTTACAGTGAAGGCAGCATTATCCGTAACTGGGACCATCTCTCGATTAAGGTTACGTTCGATTTCCCGGCATGTTGATGGTGTCAACGGTTGGTTTTGTAATTTTTCGCTATAACTTCCGTTGCGTTTGCTAAAAAATCAAAATAGCTACTATCAACCCATGGTAAAGTATATATTTGTTACAAATGAGTGGTGTGTCTCTTGTTACATGGGCACGTTTCCCTGAGTAATCCGGTCTTCCCAATTTTCGAATCTTTATTCGAGGGGAAAAGAAAGAAACCGTTCAGCTGTAGCACCCTTTCGGTGCCTAGCTGCCATGCCACCCGAAAGAAGCACGAGAGCTGGGATACTGCCAGTTTGCCCAAGCCTAGACAGGGGAAGTCGACTGGCGGGGTTCGGATTCGAACCGCGGACCTTCCGGTCAGTAAGTTCGCGCTCTAACCACTTGGGCAATCTCGCCCCCTATTCGAGAGGAATTGGAATGCGGTTCTCATTTAGTTTGTTTCAATCAACTGCTCCCGGAACTATTGGAACGAAGCATTGGCGATTGAGTTTCACTCTAGAAAACTGAGATGCTCTGTGTGGATGTCCTGTTCTGAAGTTGGTGGTACGTATCACTTGAATATTTACACAGAGTTGAACCTCCGATCTTCTGAATGGAAGTTGAACATGGGGCTACACTTATTTATACTTGTGATTAGATTTTGAAGGTTTTGAGTCTCTTAGGAGTATCGAGCAGGTGATCAGCAGAGGCTACCCGTCGTGTCCCGATGTTTCCATTGAATTTAAGAGTATGATTCAGTTCTGGAATAGTGTGAAACTGGAGCTAGGATTTCATTGTGTAGGCAAATAAGGTGGTGTGTTATCATGTCGTCATGACTCAGACTCCGCATTTGGCTCTGCCCGATGGGTTTTAAGCGCTAATATTTCGAGTCTTGTCTAGCCACCTAGTTCTTCCCACTCTCAAGGACTGCAGCCCAGTTTATCGCAGAGTCGTTACAATCACCCCGCTGTCAGAGTGAGCTTTCTCGTCACTAAAAATCGCTATCTACCCTGCCGATTCCGCCATCCAGAGGATACGGTGAGCTGCCTGTTCATCTTTTATCCATTGAGCTTTAACAGCACGAAACTAAATTTAATGAACCCGATATTAGGTTCTTGCCGGGCATAGTAGACTTCCTCACTAGTCTCGATGCTGCTTTGGAAAACATTTCAATAAATTTAGTAGCAAATTTCCTATAGCCTACCTTGGTCATTTAAGCTTTTCACTCTCCGTCAGTTCAACCAATCACATTTCGATAAATTGGTGCTATCCCTTGACCTAATACTATGCATGAGGTTGGTGAAAACTTTTCAACCAACCTGATTACTAGTAAGGAAAAATCCCTTCGATATCTTCAATGTCGTTCCACTTGGCCTATTTTTAGCACATCTGGTTGAAGAACAGAATAAACCAGAGATTCAACCACGACCCAGTTGGGTTTCTCATTAAAAGAAACTTAAGTTGAAGGTGTGCAGTTCTGATTATTGATTACCGTTTTTCGAAAATCATCAACCACATAGCAGTCTTCAGTTGAGCCGGCTGGAACTTCCATATATTTTGCCTGGTGAACGTCGCTCATATTCGGCAGTAGGCACTTGAATCACTCGTTATCGATCTTGTATACACTCCTAATGGTGCAATGTGCGCATTCGGCACTGTGGAGATGCTAATGGATCCTGAGTGTTTGTTCTATACAAAAGGTGATACAACCACCGTCTTCACTAGCCCCAGGAACCATTAAATCTACCCAAACTGAAGTAGGACTAAACTGTCTGATTATGCTATAATTCTGCAAGTGTTTCGTGCTTCATGCAAATGATGTCTACTGGCGTGGAAAATCCCATCCTATGTGGAACCCCGTTTTTTTGAGGAAACGTTGAGTTTTCGATAAATTGATCAACTGGCAAATATAAAGTATGAGATGATGAGCAGCCAGACGGCAATATACGGGTTTCGGAATACAACCACATGAAATATGAGGACACAGACTATTTGCAAGTTGTTCGAGAGAACAGGGAATAGAGGAAAATGTCGGTAGCTCAGGTAGCGTAGATGGTCGTTGGCTTGATCGCTGAGCTGGGCAATTTGGTTGTAAACGTTTCATCACCAATCTTAGTGACATCATCAGTGCGTTATTGGGGAGCGGAGTTGTGCGTAACACAACAGGGAATGTTAGACTATCGCAGACATGTCTCTGATTCAGTAGCTTCCTGTGTCTGTTAGCTACTGTGTTACTAACGGTGTGTAGTAGCCAGTTGGGGCAAAAACACGATCAAACATGCACATCGTTCTCTTGAATGCACAATGCAGGTATGTTTATGGCTTCGGCTGTCGCTAGAAGACGTTGTCTATATCCTTTGGATTTGTGTTTGGGTACTCGATACTCGGAAGCCACTGTGGGATCAGCTTGGTTACCAGTGTTCACCAAATGGATTAATGCTGGACTTGAGTCTGTATCCCGGGGCTTTGTAAGTGATGACGTCAGGCAGTTCTTTCAGATACGCCTTGTTGATTGTCTTTGCATCCGATCTAGGTGATCTATTACACAGCATTAGGAGTAAATAACCATTTGCTCGGTCAGGGTAGGTTATTTATCCTTGAATCTTTGAGCATGGATAGGTTGGTTAGTAAATAGCACTCCAAGCCTCACTGCATCATAAGTCTGCGTGACGAGTCGGGACAATTTTCTGAATAGAATACCGGTTGACTGATCACAAGTAAAAGGATGGTATTCTAAAGATGAACCCCTTGTCTGCAGTCGCAAAGCTGCTATATTTTGACGTTTTGTCATGTGACGCTCCTTAGACTTTCAAAGGTAGCGCCATTCTTCAACAGCCCTCGACAATCTCTTGATAACTGATTCCTCTCATTCTCTTAGAAGGCATGCGAACTAAGTAACGTTTTTGATGAGTAAAATAACAGTGCGACAGCACTACACGTATCATTCATCTGTTTATTTAAGTTGCACTATATAAATTAGTATTGACAATGGCACCATGGTTTTACAGTTCGATTGGCGAAGTAAAAGATGACTTCGCTGCAGGGTTGTTGATTGTTTTACAACCCCCTAGCAACTGTTCAACTCTGGTGATTCTGAAGCAGATCTAGTTCGGATAAACAGTTCTCACTGCTGATCATTGGACCCACCTGAGTTCCGGCGGCTCACTGCTGAGGTTACTTCTCTTAAATTTTCACCTACTTGTAAGTAGTGCAAAATATCAGTGATCTCTGTAGCAAAGCCTCTTCTGGCTTTACCAAGGATGTGAGGATTCTTGGTCAGGCTGAGATGTTTCCCCAAGAAATGAGTCTTCCAGCATACCGCGTAGGCGCGTAAGAGCTGTGAAAAATCCGCCTCAGATTTTTCCATCTTGGTATTTCGTGGTATGAGTGGCCTGAACGCAGGTGGTCCGAATGAAGGTCTCCATTGCCCGCATCCGATGCTCTAGATTGGATCATCTTGGAGATTCCCCACTTAATCCCCCTTGTCGCAACAGAATAACTGGAGGTGCGTGTAAAAGGTGAGTTCTAAATGTCATGGGCGACATGTATTCTAGCTTGCATGACTGGACATATAATCTTAAGAGCTTATCATGGCATCAGACAGCGAGAAAATTCTGTAAGACTCCTGTGAGAAGTTTAAGGGTGGGTCTGCTATAGCTCTTCGGCCTGTTTGATAGAGTGAAGTCACACCAGCCTTAGCGACTTGAAGTAAACGTTTGCTTTGCCTATAACGCTCTGTTGTGGCATCACTGAGTGAAGAAGAGCTCCGTCTTCAATGTAATAGTTTATTTTTTGTTATAAAGGTGTTTCGGTATATGTCACGAAACGTGCAGATACATCTTTGCCAGGTGACCCGAGTGGAATTCTAGCTGTTCGCCGTGGAGACTCAAAGTTGGCTCGTTGAACTACAATGCCCTGAGGATCTTCAATGCTTAAGGTTTCGCTCCAGACCTTGAACATTTCTTGGGACACGGTTGTCCGCATCTCATGTGAGTTGGTTCAGTGAATTTATCTTATCAGTTCGGCGAATCCGATAATTTAGTGGAGGCAGTCTATCAGCTATTCCCAATTTTTCATGACTTTTGTTCTGGTCGCAGCTGCTCTCCAGGTTGATTAAATTACGGGCGATGTGATTATTTCCGTTGTGCCTCGAAAGTATAAAAACAAGGCGCTTTCTGTACTTTCACGATCGACAGAAAATCACTATCCAAATGGAGAAAAAGGATAAAATTCTACGAGTAAAATGCTAGTACAACCAATGGGTACAACCAATTCATCTCTAATAGGGACTAGTATTCTACCTAAACTTTGCATTCGAACTACGAATGGGTCAGTTTGCATCATAATATGATGGTCATAATCGTTCAGCTGCAATACTTTTTCTATGTGTATTGACCATGCCATTTGACAGAAACACGGGGCAGAGATGTCAGTCTGCCCTATCATAGATAGGAACAGTTGAGATGGTGAAGTTGGGTTTGAACCGTGGGCCTTCCCGTTGGCAAGTTCGTTTCTTAATGACACAGCTATCCCGAGCTCAGATCACAGTATTCCTAAGTGGACTGTCACCTTCAGCTGACTCATCCGGAGACCTCTGCGGTCAGCGTGTCACACATCGAAATGGAGTGGTCTAACCTAGTTTGTAGAGATGAGGGTTGATCCAACCACTTCGTGGTACCACTAAAATTGACTACTTGATGCATCTCAGCTAAACAATGTGGAATCGAGCTCAACGACCATGCTAATCACACACATCGTTGCGTTACTGATCCCCGGGGCGCACTGTCAATTTTACCTTGAAACGTATTCACCAAGCATAACAGCCATAAAACTCGTGCGTCTGGTGCGGAATAATGGAAGCATGTTTGGTGGTTCAGACCGTGTAAAAGAGTGGCGTGGCGGACCACAGAGGACTGTTCCTGCTCCGTAGTATGAGTGTGTTTCGCACCTTGTTTGTCATACTGGTTCATAATCGAATATGTTTGCCATCCCCATCTATCTGCCCGTCGCCTGTCATTCAATTATCCACTGAGAACAGTTGTAAACCTCTAACCGTATTTGATAGTATCGAAGTCGCACCGAACGAT